TCAGAGCTATCAGTTTGGCCCTCTGAGACAAGGTTCCCACAGGCAAAGCCACCGCCCAAACAGTCTCAGTCTCAGTTACCACTGCTGCCCCTGCATGCCTCTGCCCATCCTTCATGAAACCGCTACCGTCGGTGAACCAAGTAGCTTCTGCATTGGAGAGTGGCTGATCAGTCAGGTCGTTTCTGAGCCCATGTACCTGGTTCAGGATCTCCACGCAATCATGCAGGGGCGCATCCAAGTCGGGGTTGGGCAGCAGTGTGGCTGGGTTAAGGGCGGTGCTTGGGAGGAACCAAATTCTCAGAGGGTTAAGAAGTAAGCTCTGATAATGGGTTATTCGGGCATTGCTCAACCAGCAGTCCGGTGGCTGCTTAAGAACTCCCTCAATAGCATGAGGAGTGGTGATGTGCAGTTCTTGCCCTGATGTCAATTTATTTGCATCCTTGACTAGAAGGGCAGTAGCAGCTATAATCCGCAGACACAGTGGCCATCCTGCGGCTATTGGATCAAGTTTCTTAGACAAGTATGCCACTGGTCTATCCCAGGGTCCTAACGTTTGAGTTGGGACTCCTTTGGCTATTCCTTTCTTTTCATCTATGTAGAGGTGGAAAGGCTTGGTGACATCAGGGAGCCCCAAAGCCAGGGCCGTCAGGAAGGCTTGCTTAATTTCATTAAAGGCCCTTTCTCTTTCTTCTGTCCAAATGAAAGTCCCATTCCCTTTTGTGGCAAACCCTGAGATCCAGAGATGGCAAAACGCTGACAATCCCAGAAACTCTCTCACTGCTCTTTGGGAGTTGGGGACCAGCATCTTTAGCACTGTTTCTTTCCTGGCATCTGTGAGCCATCTTTGCCCTTCTTTTAGAATGTACCCTAGATAAATCACTTCTTGGCAACACATTTGTGCCTTCTTAGTGGATGCCCCATATCCTAGCCTGCCTAGAGTCACCAACAAATCCTTGGTCCCTTGCTGACATAGTAGAGCATCAGCAGCAGCTATCAAGATGTCATCTGCATATTGCAATAGGGTGAGCTGGGGGTGTTCCAGCCTGTACTCACACAGATCTTCATGAAGTGCCTCATTAAAGAGGGTGGGCGAGTTCTTGAATCCCTGAGGCAGGCGAGTCCAGGTCAGTTGTCCATTGAAACCGACCTCTGGATCTTGCCATTTGAAGGCAAAGAATGGCTGACTATCCTTGGCTAAGGGCAGGATAAAGAAGGTGTCCTTTAAATCTAGTATGGTATACCAGCTCCTGGAGGGCGGCAAGGAGCTCAGGAGGGTTTAGGGATTAGGCACCATGGGATGGATGTCCATGATGTGCTTATTTACTTCTCTCAGATCCTGTACTGGCCAGTAATTGTTTGAGTTTGGCTTCTTTACCAGGAGGAGAGGTGTATTCCATGCAGACCTGCAGGGTACTAGGATGCCCTGGTCTCTTAGTCTCCGGATGTGTGGGGTAATCCCTGATCTTGCTTCATGGGACATGGGATACTGCTTCACCCAAGCTCGAAGGGTTCCTGGTCTCAGCTCCACCCAGATGGGTGGTCGGTGGGCTGCCAGCCCCATCCCTCCGGTCTCAGCCCAGGCCAGGGGAAATTCCTGCAGCCAAGCAGAAATCTCCTCTGTTGGCTGCGGGTCCAGTTTTTGGTACAGTCGATATTCGTCTTCCAGTTGCAAGGTCAGTACCTGAATGGGGTGGCCTCCTTTATCTATTAAATGAACCCCATTCGGTGAAAAATGGATGTGGGCTCCAATTTTGGTAAGCAAGTCTCTACCTAAGAGTGGGTAGGGGCAATCTGGCATGACTAGGAAGGAGTGGGACACCCAGCCCATGCCTAAGTCCACTGTCCTTTGGGTGGTCCATGAATATTGGTTCATGCCAGTCGCTCCCTGTACCCAAGACCTTTGTTTGACAATTTCCCTAGGGTTTCTGTTAACACTGAATGTTGAGCGCCTGTGTCTACATGGAAACTCACAGGTGTCCCCTCCACTCTGAGAGTTACCCTGGGCTTGGGGAGGGCATCTGAACCCTGTCCCCACATTCACTCCATTCCCCAAGCTCCAGAACTTGCATTTTTTCATGGGCCGGTCCTGTCCAGCCAGTCTTTCTGGACATTCCTTCTTCCAATGGCCCATTTTCTTACAATAAGCACATTGGTTTCTCAACAGTTTCGGTCGCCCTTCTGGGCATTTCCTACCTTGTTCAGCTGATAGGTGTTGCAGCTGGCATTCCCTTTCACCCAGGGACCTGGTCGATGTAGCCAGGAGAATCTTGGCAAAGTCATGGGTTTGCCTGGCACTGGCAGCGGCAGCTGCCCGGACCGCCTTGTCCTCAGGACTCTTTTGGTGGTTGTAAACTTTTTCAGCCACTGCCAGAAGCTCTGGCAGGGTTTTATCTGCTAGTTTGTCCAATTTTTGTAATTTTCTCCTAATGTCAGGTGCTGACTGGTTCACGAATGCCAGGATCACTGCATTCATTGGAGTTCATTGGAGTATAAATATGGAACGCCTCAATAATTCTTTCTAGGAATTCTGTGGGTGAGTCTTCCCTCCGTTGCTGCACATCACTAATCTTGGCCAAATTGGTGGGACACCTTGCAGCTGCCCAGAAACCCCCCATTAGAGTCTGGCAATAAACCCGGAGCCTCTCCTTACCTTCAGCCACATTGAAGTCCCAATTCAGCCTAACAAAGGGAAAGTCTTCATCTATCAGGACCTGATTGGTGGTGGGGGTTCCCATCCACCCCAGGGACCAGCTTGCGGGCTTCAACCAGGATCTGGTCTCTTTCTTCAGTGGTGAACAGGACCTGCAAAAGCTGCTGAATATCATCCCAAGTGGGCTGATGGGTAAACAAAACAGATTCTAGCAAATCAATTAGCCTTGGGGCTTTTCAGAAAATTTAGCTGTCTGCAGCTTCCAAGTGTAGAGGTCACTAGTTGCAAAGGGCCAATACTGCATCTGTTGGTCCCCTGCTTCAGTGAGAGGCCCCACAGCCTGGAGGGGGAGGACAGTAGAGTCTGCCACCAGCCGTGGCTGCCCCCTTTGGACCCTCCTTCGTGTCTGGGGAGGGTGTTCTTCCACCTTCTGAGGTGGGGCTGCCTTCGCCTCCCCCGGGATGTCCTGGGGCTCTGCTTGTGGGACAGGCCGATGGGGGGGGTCAAACAAGAGCTCTTCCCTGGTGCCTCCTTGCAAGACAGGGTAAAGGGGGATGGAAGGTTTAGTTTCATTTCTCTGCTGTTCATCCTCACATAAGGTGAGGACAGTCAGCTTTGAGCCGGTGGGGTGAGGAGGAAGGAGTGGCTTTAACCATTTTGGAGGCTCCTCCACCATAACCTTCCAAATCGTGATGTAAGGGATCTGATCAGGGTGGCCTGGACGGCCATAAATTATATCCTTTACTCTATAGATGGTGAGCAGGTCGAACGTCCCCTCTTCAGGCTAGCTGGCCCCAAAGGCTGGCCATTCATTCCTGCAAAACATAAAGAGCTTCCCTTTCTTTACTCCTAGCCCCAGGCTTTCAGCCTGGGCCTTGAATTCTGAGAAATGATCCTGAAAAAGACTGAGAGGAGTTACTTGGCTCTGTCCCATTTCTTCAAAACAGAGAGCACAAATGCACACAGGAATAACACACGATTAATTGGTGCCTTAAACTGAAAGTAGGACGATGGCCTCTCGCCTCCCAGCAGGTGCGACCCTCTTCATCCTTCCAAGTCTACCAGGGGGATCCAATCTCTATCTGGTGGGTCCGGGATGTCTCCCAAGTCCCATGGCCTAGGGCCTTCCAGCGCGTCCACCTAGACCTCCAACAGGCAACCTGAAAACTGGGCCCCAAAACCAGAAGCGCACAAAGACGGAAGACACAAAGACAAGAGACACTCACCAATCGGATCAGGCAGACTCAGCGCTCTGGGGTCCTGTGTGTGTGTGGGGGGGGGGGGTCTTGGGGATCCCGGACGAGCCCCCAAAATGTTTTGCCCAGAGAACAGACCTTCAAGAATAACCATGGAATCCAGAGGGCTTGCAAGAACAAAGAGTCTTTATTCGGGCTTAAGCTCAAGCTCTCAGACCTGCAGGGGAAGCCTTTTATAGGTTTTAGACAAAGAGAGGAGGAGAATAATAGAGTCATATCTCGATTGGTCCAAGGAGCCCGGGCGTGCCAACACACTTTTGAATTGATTGGTTACAAGGGATGTAGTCCTGGAGATCTCTCATTGGTGGGTGCTACCCTCAGGGCTGTGGAATGTGCTGACTGTTATCTGTGGGTCCAGAAGTCCCTGTTCCTACCTTACAAGGCTGCTATATGCCTGGATTTGCTTAATCTATAGCCTCCTGGGGTGGGGGTGGTAGGTGGAGATTACAACATGCCTGGGCATGTCCAGACTTGCCTGAAACAGCTAGTCAAAATGGGGTCAATACAGTTTGTCCTTTCAGCCAAGCAATCAAGCACTTTACAGAAGTGAAAAAGAACAGTTAGTCCTAAAGAGGGGCAGGGGTCTTGAGAGTTCAGGGTGGAGGGCCAAGGAGGAGGGCCTCACAGCTGTAGAACAACAGAACACCGTACAAGAGATAGAAAAAAGACCAGACAGAAGAAATGGTCCGTTTGGGTTACTCAAAGACAAATGTAGCAAGACTTATGTCGAGCCCAAATTCCCAAAGAAAAAAATTGATAGAAAACCGAATTTGGTACTAAGGAGTTTCTGGAAGGCTTAAAAACTGGAACAAAAGTTTACAAAAGGCATTCAAAGGATAAAAACTGTCCCAAGGGTGGTTAAAAATCCCCAAAGATTAAATAAGGTGCATTTCTCCTCTGATAAAGGCTATACTAGGGGTGGAGGCAGTTTTTCCCACCAAGACCTCCACCAGCATCCAGGTGTGGTCAATGGAGAGATAACAGATATAGCTACAGTCAGAAGGCAGGCCCAGGGCCTGCCTGACTCGGGGAACCAACAAGTGCAGCAGGGACAGGAGAAATTCCCTGCCTCCTTAGCCCAGTACAGGGTCAGGCAACTAGAACCAACACCTGTAAGTGTATCAAGAATAAAAAATACAAAGAGACTCCATGTAAAATCCCCCAAGTGCAAAATGACTCCAAAGGAATAACTAAAGATACTAAAGAACTAATCGAATTAATGCCTTGTACCCATATTATGGTGCCTAACAAAGAGCTATGAAGAAAACAGTTAATACAAATGGATAAAACCTTTCCATATTGTTAGACCTTGTCTATGATTGATTTAATATATGATGTTAACCTTCCTTCAACTGTTTTACAGATGTGAAACCCATTTGAAAGATGAAGGAACAAAAGCCAGCTATAGCTGTAAGATTCTTGGGAGTTTTATGGTTGGGTAAGATTAAAAACAGAGACTCCCAAACTATATAACTGTTAAGAAAATCTACAGTACCAGCAGTGGGTTGCCCCCCGAAGAGCTGTTGGTCAGAGAGAGATCCTAGAGGTCCTCAAATTCACCAAGGCTATTGCCACTAATGTTGGTTGTACACTAAAAAGGTTGGTAAGGCAATGTTGCTAAAGACACTCTGTGATGTAAGCACAGGGGAATAAAAAAAGATGGAGCTGAGACTAAGCCAACAACTCCAGGCCACTAGATGGATGATGTTCATAGTACCAGAAGGCACTATGCAGATGCTTGGGAAAAAAAGGATCCCCTATGATTCTACTCAACAGTGGACCCTGCGTGCTGCACACTATGAACGTGCCCAGAAATACCTGCAAGTGCAATAATGCCTCGACTAACATACGTGCAACTGACAAATTTCTAATTGGATAAGGCCCATTCCATAGGGGTGGAACACACATCTGGTGCTGTAGACCAGGCCAATCCCCTGTGTTGAGAAAAGCTACAGACCCTAGCAGGGAAGCCATTACAAGTATACTGTTTAACGAATATAGTACACCTACTGGGATATCGTCTAGGAATTTGTATTTACATTCATGTTTGTTTAGATGTGTCTACTTCCTTCCCCTTGTCTTTATAGTAGAAGAAACACCACTGAGATAATCAATAGCCATGGCTTGAAAACAAATAATGGGGAGAACCAAGAAATCACTATCTCGCCATGATACAAGAGCGATCACCCTACATCTATCACCCCTTCCAAGGCTCAGAGATCCTTGCAGAAGATTGGCGGAAAGATTGTAAGACCGGAGGAAAGGGGTGGAGTATAGCCCAAACATGATTTATTCCTCCCGGGCTTCTGAAATGCCATGGGCTGGAGCATGGCACCCTGGGAAGAAGGGTGGAGCCTAGTGTGGGGAGAGATTGGAACTAAAGGATTTGGCACCAATTCTGGGAAGCAAGGAACAGGGAGCAGGTGAGCCAGCCTGCCCTGGACCCTTTGGGGCACTGGCAGACCTCGTGAGGACCCCATGGACCTCTCACAGAACTCTGTGGGGTGAGTGGGCATGTAGGGACGCAAGATGAGGCAGACCATGGGCAAAAGTGATCCAGAACGGCAGAGCTGGGTGCTGGGCGCCGGGTTTCATTTCTTTGTAAGTCACATCTCTCTTGCTGCCCAAGGTATAAACTATGCAAAATTCAGATAAAGATGTGGTATGTGGTTTGTTTACCCATGCCAGGAGCAAGGGGCCCTAAGAGAACTCAGACGACACCATGTTTCCTCTTATACCGAGAAACTAAGGCACAGAGCAAGGAGGTTAGTTGTCTAGACTCACATATGAATTCATGTTCCCATCAGGACTGAAGGCCAGGCCCCAATCTATTTTCAGTGCTCCTCCCCGACCCACCTGCTGACTTTATAGGGTCATGGAAATAACTTACAATGTGTTTTTTGTTTTGTTTTGCTTTGCTTTGCTTTGCTTTGGTGGGGGAGAGCCATGTGGTAGTTTTAGGTAAGGAACTCAGAAACTCATGTAAGCATATGACCCTGCATATAAGGCTGCCTTGGGGCCCTCTCTTTCTGCCTACAGCTCTGAGGAGGAGTCCAAAATTGATTCTAGGGAATGCATAGTGCAGGCCTCTACTGAGCCATTGGGGAGTCATCAGTCAATTAGTTCTGGCTTCGGGTTCACCCACACAGACCCAGG